CTGGTGAGTAGCAAACATTCTGCTCGGTGCCTAACAGCTGTGCTCTGTCAGGCCATGGATCTAGTGCTTTGTCTCTGACATGGAAAAAAACAGCCCACAACCGAACCCGGGTACAAGAACAAGGCCATGTGATACTTTGGTATACTCTCCCAGTTACTGGCAGCCTTTGGTTTCGGAAAGTTCTTGAGCCAGGAGCTGCATCTGGAATGTAATTGAATAGTTCTCTTTGGACCTTTCTTCCATCAATTTGTCTTGAATTCTTTTTAAGTCCATTTATACTTTTGGCCAACATCCTATGTAAATGAGTTAGTCTCTCTGGGAGGTGTACAGGCAAAACCCTTCTTAGTTTAACTCTCCTGTTTGAGATCTGTGTTGCTGCACCACTCTTACAAGTGTACCTCCTGTACTTGTGTAGCAAGGGGCAGGGACAGAATAGTCTTTGTCTACTCCTTTTCTGCAACTGGTCTGTAATTTCTGTAGGTTTCTGGTATATCATGCCTTAGGTTTTTTTTTCCTCTTTCTTCTTTCAAAACTGAATTTCTAGCTATGTTTAGTGTTTTCTTCTTGAAAGAAGAAAATGAGTTAGACCATGTCACACTCTCGTTACACTTTCTCTTGTTCTACGCTCTCTCCGCTCAGGTTTTGTGCATGCCAGGGACATACACAGTGACTTGAATATGTTAAAAATTGTTCAGAAATGAATGGAACAGAGAACTTCCTCCCTAACTGGTGCTTCCAGTATGTTACTGTTTTGCCTGCCACTAGCCTTATCTGTGAATTTTAATTCTTTCCATCTGTGCTTATTCTAGGTCCTGCTTTGACTGCAGCACAAAAGCTTTTGATCAGCTGAACTGTTCAGAAGTTTATTTCATATCAATAGTGGTTGCCACATTTTTTTCCATGTTCCAAATTTGAAAACAGAATGGCAGTTGACAGTGTTCCATCTTCTGAGTGAAAGAGTGAATTGACATTTTCTACTGTAAATACATAATGCAGAAAAACTGTCATATAGCAGTGCTGGGAAGGTTTACTGTGAAATGAGCACTGCAATTAAAATAGTCTGGTGTTACCTTTGCTATTTGAGCTTGGGAGGGAGTGTTGTACATCCAATAAGACTTGTTTGGTGGTTTTGTCTTACTTGTACCAATGGTGTCTGAGTCCAGATAGAGTTTTTATAAGTATACTTTATTGTTAAATATATTAAACTATTCTGCTCATTCTATAATAAATGGAGATTCTAGTAATTTTAGTTTAAATTGATTCTTCTGAATGAAATCTTTATCTCTGGGCATCAATATAAACTTCAAGCAGTTTTAACTACAGATGAAAGTGACTCTCTGGCTGTCTCCCATGATGGGCTTTTTGGAGGAAAGACCTGCGGAAAGTGTTTTGAATTCTTTCCAGAAAGAGAAAGCCTTTCCTATGGTAACTTGTTCTGCAGATTGATGGGGCAAGGATTATCAGATGCTTCTGTGGCTGCAAAAAAGTGTTGCCAGTAACTCTGAAGTGCGAGAATAGCAGTATGTGGGGTCTAAATTTGGCAATTTTTTTTTCTCCTCGTCTTTCTGACATCTGCTTGTAGCATTTATGGAACTGTTTTGTGGAGATGGAGCAATGTTAAGTTGAGATTCACTTTACTGGGGATCTTGCCGAGTCACAAATACTTTTAACTGCTGAGAGCTGGCTGTTTTACTTGCTCTGTAAAGCTTTTACTCCTGATGCATTGTAGGTGCATCAGAGCTGGTGTGTTCTGCAGATTCTGATTTTGAGAGGTGCTGTGCCTGTGGGTGTGCATAGGACAGCATTCCTACTCACCCGTTTAATATTCTTTATGTTCTTTATTTGGTGTTTAAAATTGCTTTTCTATGTGTGTCTGTATCTGTTTTGTCAGTGTTAAGCTGATGTATCTACATCTGAATCTGCTGCTCTGTCCCAGATTGGACTCCGATTTGGTGCCAACCATTCTTCTCTCTAACACAGTCAGAGGAAGGTGCTGATGCTACATGCTCCCCATGGGTCACCTTACAGTAGTTAATGCTCTCATAGGGTCTCTTAAGTCTAAGTTTAGTTCTCTCACTTGCCCAGTGAGATTCAAACCTGCATTTCCAAGGAGCAGCAGCCAGAAGATAAGTGACTATTCTGGGACTGGAGCAGTCTCTACGCACGATTGAAACTCTGCTCTGTGGTTTTCTCCAAACAAATGATGAAACTTTCCTTAACAACAGTCTCTTGAGATCCTCTGTGTCTCCAGCGGGAGCAGGAAAAGGCAGAGCAACAGTGCGGGAAAGTGCACGGAGGATGGCAATTGTGTGATCTTGCCACCATTCCTTGAAGGGACTGCGGTAGCTGTGAGATGGGTAAGGGTTAAATCAGTCTGAAAGCTGTAAGATGGAAAAGCCGAGTGGCTGGGGGAGATGATTGCAGAGAGCTGGAGCCCAAGCAGGTGAAAGGTCAGAGCTGGCCTGTGTGGGCTGGGAGCTCCGCAGGGCCTGCAGCGTGGGGAGATGGTGATCCTGGCCGACGCACAGTGCTGGTTAACCATTTCTGTTCATAAACACTTCTTGCTGCACAGAAACAGACCGGGCAGTAAATGCCTATGAATTGTGATGTCCCACCAGTCTTGATTACCACGATGCTTTGGAAAATCAAAGCTCTCAACTAGGGGTTGGGGGAAGCTGACACTGGCTTTGAATTGCAGTTGGGATGGAGCTCTGTGTAAGTGATAGGCTTGCAGAAGTGTCTAATGTTGTGAGACTTCATGTAGGCATCTGCAGTTCAGAAACAGAACAGTATAAGTGATTTTCTTCATGCTTGTATTTGTTAACACAGTTTAAACAATGCAGATCTAGAGACTTCTGTTAATAAAGGGATAAACTGTGACTAGGGAGGAGAGTTGGCTTTTGGTCTGTGTGACAGTTACTAAATAGTTATGTCTAGAATTTAAAGTAGCAGTTTGTAAATATATTCAATTTTAGTCTTTTCATGGTAGTGTGGATATATATTCTCTACATTCACTAGAGAATCATAAATATTTACATTTTGGGGAAACTGCACTTCAGGAACACTGTTGCCCAGTGACAACCATGATGCTTCTCTTTGAGCTGCTATTCTGTGCCACTCACATTAAATTGCTTCCCAATTCCCTCTCAAATCTTAATTTCCATTGGGAAAATTACTGTTTCTTGTTGTGTGGTGCTGTTAAAGGACTGAAGAGGTGAAAAGTTCAAGTGTTAAGAAAACATACGTGCACTCTTGTACATAGCTTAAAGTATGCCAAAAAAAAAAAAATCAGTTGTATAATGTGGAAACAGAACTTCAATTTTCTTTATTTCTTTTCATAAACTGTAAAACAAACAAAGAAGAAAACCAAGTACTTTAATACAATCCACAGATTTTACTTGTGAATTAGATGGTACTTAAGATGCTAAGCCACCTTTAAAGGATTTATCCATTGCTGAAATGGTGCTTACTATTGAGACATAACTATTCACCATCTGAAACTAGTTAGTAGAGGTGTAGTTAGATTCAAGACTGAAGTTTCAAAGTTGCTTAGCCTCATGTGTTTGGCTTGTTGCCAGGAATATGAAATTAGGTTTCCATAAAAACTGCAAAATGTGAAATTAAGCAGTTTTGGTAATCCTCAGTTAAATTTGAGAACAGGATCACTTTCCTTCCAGATTTTACCAGAAATAAAGTATCAAAACGTACCTGTCATGACTTCTTAGCAAAGGTGTGGCAAGTTGAGAGAGTAGGGTGATGCTGATGGAAAACTGCACCTGCTTTTCTGAGCCCAGTAGCTTGAAATCTGAGCTGTGTCTTCAGTCTTCTTGTCACTGAGCTTTCCTTCTGGAGGTGACCATTTGCATGGAAGTGTTTAAATGGAAGATGCTCATTACAGTAAATTTCCAAGAAATCTGTCAAGCTGGATAGCTGGGGTGTACAGCATCCAAATATCAAAATCAGGCTGAGAGTTGGGCATGTTCAGCTTGGAGAAGATAAGGCCCTGGTGAGACTTATAACGGTCTTCCAGTGCCTAGAGGGAGCCTACAAGAAATCCAGAGTGCAGCTTTTTACAAGGTATTGTAGTGACAGGACAAGGGGGAATGGCTTTAAGCTGACAGATAAGGGTTGTTTAGATGAGACAATAGGAAGAAATTCTTTACAATGAGGGTGGTGAGGCACGGGCACAGGTTGCCCAGAGAAGCTGTGACTGCTCCATCCCTGGCAGTGTTCAAGGCCAGGTTGGACGGGGCTTGCAGCAACCTATTCTAGTGGAAGATGCCCCTGCCCATGGCAGGGGGTTGGAACTGGATGAGCTTTAAGGTCCCTTCCAACCCAAGCCATTCTGTGATTCCAAAATCATGCTTTACAGCACCATGCTTTTTGGATCTTGCTAGTTTGGTATTGCTATCTTTTTCACCTAAATATTTAACTGGTTAGTGGAAGCATACAGCACTGGAAGTTAGTAAGTTCCCTCAATTTTGGTTGCTCAGTATACTTTGCTTCACCAGAATATACAGTTTTTCTTTCAGCAATGGTTTTTTTGAGGCTCTTCTGATCTCCTAAGGCTTGAGACTAGTAGCATGTAATTTTTGTTATCTAAACCCAAATGGAAAGAGAAAGATGGAAGAACTCTCTTTCAGGCATGGTGTTACTTTTAAAGCTACAGCTGTGAGGATCATACATTAGTTCCCAGGTACTTCTCTCACACATTCGATATTTACTTTCTGTTATCTGTTGGTAGTATTGCTTACTGCAACTAGCTGTTGCTGCTAGTGTATTTTTCCACCTGGAGAAATATATTGTGGATAAGTTGCTTATACAAACAAGCTCTTTCTATCTTATTTCTGCTGGAGATGTTGCAATAAACAATATTTATGATTCTCATCTGAGTTCAGTCTCACAAGAAAAATAAAAGAGAGTTTCAATACCTCTGAGTCCTTGTTCTTTTCCACTTTAATCTTTTTATCACTGACTTTCTTATCTGAATCATTCTTTAGGGCTGCAGGGTTCTGGTTGATGCACGGGACAAACTGGGGATCCCTTGGCAGTACACGGAGAATGAGAAGCACGGAATGTTTTTGATGGCTTTTGAAAACAAAGCTGGAATGCCCATAGAGCCTGCCACCTTCCAGCTGTATGTACCTGCACTGGGAGCGCTGTGGAGGGATTCGGGAATCAAGGAAGCCTTCAGCCGTCGGAGCGAGTATCAGCTGGTGAGTATGTCCGTCTTCATGGTGGTAAGGAAAAAGTTCCCTGCCATATACATCTCTCTTCAGTTGAAAGATTGCTTGCTACATGCGAGATTCAGGCATCAGATGATCATCACCGTTTATAGTAGTGCTGTAAATCTGAGCACTTCAGCAGCAGAAACAAGTGGTAATTGGAGCCAAACTTGAAAAACTACATGGCAGTAAAGAGGGAGTGGAAAAGTGCACATGACTGGATAAACTGGAAGAGCAAGAGGAACCAAAAAAGGCAGGAATTGGTTGAACTAAAAATATTTTAGGAGCTCAGTAGGTCTGTTCATAGCAGGTCACTGATGAAGGCACACTTAATTTGTAACTTTCCAGTCCTGCCAGCTTGCACTATATTGATACTGGCAAACTATTCCTGTGTGCAGATCTTTTTGAAGTGAATGCACCACCCATTCCGGCTGCTGCTATTTGGCTGTTTCTTTTCATCCTGACGTCTGCAAGTGAAACTTGGATAAGCACTGAAAGATGACAGTGAGCGTAAAAATGTGCTATCTTCCTTGCTTTCTCATTATTAGGTTTTCATGCTCTTGTGCCAAAATAGCTGCACTTCTGGTATGGAATATGTTTCTGACTGCTGTTAATAACCTACTCTTCCTATGTACAAGATGGGTTTTTTCCTCTCTTTTTTTCAGTGAAACCACATAGTGATCCGTGCAACCTAGTACTGCTAGTCACTTGGAAAACTACATGTGGTGACATCCTAATTGTTCTAGTAAATCTTTGATTTTGACATATTAATGTGCAGGTAGAAGTCTGTTTTGAGTGTTTTGTCCCCAGACTGCATCCAGCTTTTTTTCCTTTTTTATTAAGGAGAAACAGTTACAGTTGAAATTCTTCATGCCTCATATGTTATCAATGTTTAATTAGAGGAGCTAGGTAGAGAATAGAAGCATGGGTTTGTATAGTCTCCCTTAAACTCTTAAGAAGGAACTTGATACTGCTGAAGGAAAGCTGGAGAAATTCAGTAGTGAAATGTTTGTTTCCTCATGCTGCTCCTCTCTGCAGGTTCTCTAGTGTCTGATACTGTAGTTAAATTTATGTTGCAGCCCTTAGGTACTCTTCTGTCTCCACTAGTATATGCCTGATTTGTCTTGTTCAGTACCTTTGAAATCAGTCACTGAAGTATCAACGAGGCTGCTAAATGGCTGAAAAATAAAGGCTAGGTAAAGCTGTTACAGGATGATTGTTTAAACCTCCTTTCCTCGGGCTAAAAATGTAACAATTTCCATGTTACAGCGCTGGGAATGGGGGGAAGGATGTGGGGGGCGAGAGAAGACAGATTAATTGTTCCGTAATTCCTTGCATCTGTAGATACAGACTAAGACTTTGCTGTTCTAAGCGCTGTTCAAATGTGGGATAAAAAGATGGTTCATGCCATAGGGAACTTGAATTTAACATGAGATAACTACTAAGAGAATCCAGTATAGTAAGGAATAATTACACCAGCAGCCTGTTAAGAATTGCTTTTTTTTTTTTCTGGGAAATGCTATGAGCAAGCATGGGTTTTGTTTTTAGGAGGAGATTCAGATGGGGATCATGTGGGAGGTTCATTCCTGTACATGTTAGCAATAAAACTGCATCAAACTGGAAAAAAAGAAGTCCAGTTTGTTGAATAAATAGCATTCCAAGACTAGTAGGCCTACCTCTGCATTCTCTGGCTTTGAGGATTAAACAGGAAATTCCAAAAAATAAAAAAGGCCCACAAACCCGAAGCACACAGGCATGCAACTGATCATTTAATACACTGTCATCTTCAACACCATGGTATAGTTCTCTCATGCATCTTTTCGGATGGCATTCATATAACCTTTTTAATGATACTGGAACTGCCTGCAGGTACCAGAGGGGTTGTCAGTAGTGCAATGATATGGTGTATTACTGAACCACTGTCTAACTTGGTCCTGCTGCATGGCATTAAACTCGAAGATCTTGGGTGCTGCTGTTTTACTGGGCAAGCTGCATCACTAATAGATTATAATGTACCTGAGTTGTAAATAAAAAGCACTTACATACATTTAAAATAATTCTCTGCAGTATTATTCTCAAGGATACAAATGCTACTTCTGGATTGATTGCTAAAAGAATTAACTAACACCTTCATAGCTTGAACAAGTTTCCATGCCTTGCTTCTAGGTTCAGCAGAAGTCTAATTCCCGGAGTACATGGGGCTTAGCAGCAGTGCAGCCCCTTTTAACAAAATAAGTTTAAAACTGCTTAAGTTCTTAAAGAAAGCAGGTGGTTTAAGGAAATGCCTTATTTATAATTATATATGATATGTATAAACCCATACCTTCATTTAGTTTAAACCCTCACTGGATATAGTATAGGCTCATGTAAATAAATAGAAGCCAGATACGGTGCGCACTGAGAAAATAAATCTTTTCTGAACTGATTTTAACTAAGGCTAAAGAAAACCTCTGCATCAGCACTCCCTTTCTGACAGAGTATAAATGTGCTATTATATGGAATATACTTTATTTGAACTGAATTTATTATGTTTAGAATAATTTTTAAATCATCACTAAGATTGAAGCTTTGCTTTACTGTCATCTTTCTGAATGCCTCTCAACAATCCTTGAAATAATAACCCTGCTCAGCGCTTGCATTTCCTTTACCCTGGTCTTGCAGTCAGCTGAACACCGGCTCCTTTTTCTATTATTGTTATTATTTTAGCTGCTGAGCAATGGGACATGTTGGTCTGCTTTTGAACTCTCTATTTTTTCTCCAGGAAGTTGTGTGACTTTGTTTAAAAATACAAAGTAGAACATGTTGGCGGGTTAACTAGAGCTGAAAATCAGTGTACAGGTGTCTTCCTATGGTCTGTCACACTGAGCTTAATGACTGATTCATCAGTAGCAAAATAGTTGAAAGAAAATGGCTCTGACCATAACCCCTATGTAATTGGAAAGCTGCTTCTCTCGGTCTACAGAAGCTGCCTCTGGCATTTCAGTGTTTTCTGCTTCACATTCAGTGCCTAGAAGTGCTGTTTGTAAATGCCTGTCTGGGCCTTTGAGCATTTCAGAAGCGAGTGGGTGGATTCTACAATAGCAGGGTGCTTTATTGCTTCTTTTCTTCAGTCTTTCTTAAAGCAGACTAACCAATTTCACTTTCTTTTCACAAACATCAGCTTCTCGCTCTTCCCCTGCCCCAGCCTGTCCCCACCAACCCAAGTTCCTCTGTTCCTTGTATGCAAGCCAAGTAGTCTGGGGACAAAAGCTTCATTGTATATTTGGTTACATTGTCACGTCTCCGTCCTCATTTTTTAACTACTAGAATAGGAATTCCTTTGTAATCAGGATGTGATTCTTCTCTCTTCTCCCTTGCCCTCATTATCCTACCCCATTTTCTGTCTGTATATTAGAAATGAATACATTCATCACGTGTTGCAAAATGTCCTGTAACATTTGTTCTGTTGAGGTTGCCCGTGGTACTTTGGGCAACTGGATATTAATTCTCCATTGCCAGCAGGTGGAGACAAATTCTATTTTGAATGGCTTCTTGGAGAAAGGACCCTGGGATTTCAGTGATAATTTGGCTGAAAGGGTGGAAGCTTCTTCACTTTGAACCTCATAACAAGTATTTGGGTATATTTGGGAGTTCAGGTGCATGTGTCTGCAAGCTTTTTCGCACCTATAAATGTTGTTTCCTTTTGTGCCATAAACACATTGAGGCCAAGGTAGGAACTGCTTTGGTCAGTTGGTTTCTGTTTTGGCTTTTGTTCTTCCTCCCAAGCTTCTAGTGGGAGAATGTGAGAAGCCATTTACTTTGGTTTTAATGTGTCCAGAACAAGCGAAATCTGAAGTGAGGTTAGCTACTGTCTTGACTTGTTACAACTTGGCACATTTCATGTCATTGTGGTTAAAGATGGGACAAATAGGGCATGTCAGGCAAGAAAATTACACTTTTGTCATGGTTGTAACAGAATCATACTGTGTGCCAGCATGTTACAGAGCTTGAGTTAACAACAAGTAGATCTGCAGAGGCCATCATCTGGCTTCATCAATTCTTAAAGCAAAACTAACATTGTTTTATCAGCTTTTTTAAGCATGTACATTGTTTTTGGTTTTGTTTTTGTATCTCGATCCTAACTAGCCAAAGCAGTATCTTATTTGAATGATTCTTACTGCTTCCCTTCAAGACACCAAGTCTTTCTAGCCTGTAACTATGTATTTCGAGAGCTCCTGAACTTTTCCTGTGGTACAAGTCATATTCTTATCTCTTCAGCATTGATGGGGCTGTTTACTCTGAACTCCAAAGCTTATTTGCAGTTAAGGCAACTGTGCTGAGTTGTTCGCCTGCAGCTACACTGGCTTCTGACTTGTGCTTACAGATACCGCCCTTCTTGATACAGAAGAGAGCATGGCTATCCAAGGAGGCTGCAAAAGGCATCTGTTTCAACGCAGATATTCTTAATATGCAAAATATGTTCATAATCCATTACTAGAGCATCAATTTAAATGTAATATTGATCTATTATTGTTGATGTTCACTCACTGTTGAAATAATTTCTAATTTTTAATAGCTCCTTTTTAGAAAGACCCAAGAAATTGAACGTCAGTGTTAATGGGAAGTAGGTTCCAGAGAGGGAAGTAAGGGGCTTACAAGTATAGACCAGAACTTACTACTGTGTCCATAGCTATTTTTAGATCTGTGCACAGGGAATTGTATGAACACTTCCACTAGTACTTCAAATACTAAGAGCCTCTAAAGCCTTGGATGTTGGAAGACTCTGGAAAATGTTTTAAAGAGCCTTTCTTTTATATCAATTCACCATTCTGAGTGTTTTGAGGTTTGGGGGTTTTGGGGATGTTTGTAACAGGACACAAGTCACTCCCCTGTGAATTAACTGTCTTTTTTTCCTCTAAGCAGACATTTGAAATAAACAGAAATGGTTAAATTGTACCTGCCATAACTGATAGTATGCTGGAAGTGTCACATAGTGAGCAGCCTTCTCCTGG